GTGTGTGTGTGTGTGTGTGTGTGTGTGTGTGTGTGTGTGTGTGTGTGTGTGTGTGTGTGTGTGTGTGTGTGTGTGTGTGTGTGTGTGTGTGCGCGCGTGTGTGCGTTTCCGTGGCGTATAGTGATAGTGTATATAAACATTCAATCAAGAGCTAATAATGCCTTAGGTATTATTAGCTCTTGATTCAATGTACACTCGAGCATTTCGATCAAAGCGTTCCACTCGTATTGTAGGCATTCCGAGTTTCACCAACAATATCCTCCTGTGGTCTACTTCAGTACTCACTTCATGTTACTCCTACAAAGACCGTTGCACTTTTATTTGAACGTTAATTATACGCACGTCGCAAGCATACAGCCGTCCTCGAAAGTAACTGATATCACGCGCGTCTATTAATCCATACGCGCCGTTAATTACGTTATGTTGCCGCATAGCTCGGAAGCCATATAGGCGGTCGAACACTCTTGTGCAAACTGAATGTAATTGACTTAAGGGAGCTACGCTTCGCTCTCGCGTGCGCTCGTCTCGTGTATGTACACAGACTCACAGAGTCAATGAAATAGAATTGATCTAGGATCGGCATTGTTTGCGCTAGCCGCCGTGTCATGTCGACAGGATTCCACGTGACGTTTGCACCTGCAGGGAGTCGCTCTATGACCGACGTGGCTGTCTGTCGTCTACCTACTGCCGTCCATGTCTGCATTGAAGCGACGAATCATTACCGCATGATCTCGTGCGATGTGAATCCAGCCGGTTATATGGATCCCCTGTACACCAAACGCGCACCGTTATACGCGCTATGGGTATACCTGCAGCGACGCGGCGTACATAAAGAATGCATGCCGGTAACACCGTCTAGGAGCCGTAACGGCTGAGGCGAATATAGATGTGGGCGGGCGAAACAAATTTCGTTGCAGTGCGCAGTTAAACAGTTCGCGAAACTCAAAATAACTCTATCGCTTCCTCTTGCGATCAACTGCCGGTGTTTCTACAGTTACGTGACACCCCAGATGCGTGCGGCGTCCTAATTTCGCAAGTGTCGTATTCAGCTTGTTGACTGGTTTAGAAAGGTACGCTGTGGTGTCACGGGGGAAAGCGTTGAATTGAGTTGGTTTCGGTCGGCTGAATGTTTTAGTTGTTTTTAAAACAGTACATAATATAATCATCTCTCTAGAGGACGTCGATGGTAATTATCCGTATCTCTTCTGAATAAATCATGATTGCTTGCTCACGGCTTGATTTCCGCTCACCCACGTAAAAGCGACGCGGTCGCCATTTGAAAAAACCCGTGCGAATGAATACTGTTGCGCGCGTTTTTCTGCACTCTAGCCTAGTCTGCTGTATTTCAAAACTCCCAAGCCGGCGTGGAAAATCAATATACGTAAACGCATCCTCTCTTCCGTCCGGCTGAGCATACGTTAACATAGGGCGTCTGCCGCAGCCATCCGCCCACACGCATATAGACGCTCTTCGCGCACATGCATATAGCGCTAGATGTTAATCAACGGGAGAAAAACACCGCCCGTGCGTGTAAAGAGATCTGTTTAAAAAGAACCATTAATGCCGTCTGTGAGAGCACATGGCCTATTTTCTCCGCTTGTTAGCGTCGTTCCTGTCTACATTTACGACCACTTTCTCGTCTTCTTGTCTATACGTTCTCGTCACCGTTTCGTAATGGAGACGTAGATGGCAAAGGCTTAATTTCAGTACGTGACGTAGGTATCCATAGTAAGCATTGTAATTCCGTTGCGTACCCGTTCGAAGTTCCTTCTACCGCTGCTATCATCATCAGTCAATACTTCCGTATTATTGTATTTTACGCGTATATGTATGAGCTATAAAGCAGTGTTTAGACATGGCTTGTTGTATATTTTCAATATCGATGAGACTGTATCAATTTTACCTATTCTTGCGATCAAAGAAACTTTTGTTAACTATTCGAAATAAAATAGGATGCATAATGGGTTTTTTGGATGTTGAATCACATTGATGTCGGCAAACATACTCGTTGAAGAAACTGGCTACAAGTAGCATATACTAATCAATGACTGTGAATGCACAAACGCTTACTGTAATTGGGTTTCCCCTCTAATGGGGGTTGGCAGCTGCAACTAGCGATTCTGCAGTGATTGATTGGTTTGTCTGTAAAATACGGTGACTGGGTGTAATTAATACACTAATACTATAAATTCTGATTTCTTATCAAATAAATACAGGTTAATCGATCAAAAATAAGGGATTAGCGTCACAAATGTTATCTCTACCAGCTACACTCTCAAACCTCATAAACGCTGTTTTGTCACGCTCACTAAGCACTAAGCGCGGATTGCCATTGTAATCTACTTTACTATTACTACAACCTTTAATACTGTTAGCACGAAGCGGCGAGCTAGAGGAAGATTAGTTCTCCAACATGGGAATTAGCACTAACGAAGGATCTACGACTTGGCGACTAGCGTTATTGTAGCCTGCGTCTACAGTGCCTGTACGACTATACGACTATTGTACACCACCTATCTAAATACACCCGTGGTGTACACACGTGTAAGCTAGAGTAGGTTTACTTCCTAATAAGGTTCTTACTTATTTGCCCAGCTGGGCTATATGGTTGCTTCCGGTCATCTACAATGCCAATCAAATTCAGCGATTTAACAAAGAACAGTGTTGTGCTGTAGTGTTGCGTGAATGTTTATATTGATCAACCCAATGCACTAACGCACACATGTACGCAGTATGTGGGGTATGTGGATATGTGGATGTGTGTGGGTATGTGGATGTGTGTGGGTGTGTGTGTGTGGGTGTGTGTGTGTGTGTGTGTGTGTGTGAGTGAGAGAGCGTGTTTGTGTAGGTGTGTGTCTTTCTATGTTATGCGGCGAAGTTCGATCCGACGATGACGACCGTTCCCGCCCGCGATTTTTTTTTTACTACACGTTATATCTATTGGGCTTGATATACGCATATCAACTTCCGCATCACTTTCCGTATATCAAAGAATGATGCAAAAACCCTGACCCGAACCCGAACCCTAACACTAACCATAAACCGAATCGGCTTATATACTATCTATGGTATCCCAAACACTATCTATGGTGTGGTCAAATCAAAGCAGCCAATCAGAGGAGCCCAATGGATATAACGTGTAGAAAAAATATTCGCTTTCCGCCCGCCGTGTCTTCAGCCGACGCGCGCCGCGCTCGATGTTCGTGTGTCAAATCTATTTTACATAAATTACCCGGAACTGATACGTCCATAAAAGATGCACGTAGCAACGCGGGCGGCGGATTACCGTGGCTAATACGTGAGAAAAGTCGATGCACATGAGATGAGTACAAAATATGGCGGAAAGACCAAACGCATGCATTGCTTCACGATGAGCCCAGATAGCGTAACAGTAGCACGTGCGAGGCGGTGGATGCGAGTATATCTTGTATAGAAGAGTTAGCGTGACAAAAGCAACAAGTGACAAATGCTGCGTTCGGAAAGCCTTTGATACGTGATACATGCGTGCCATTAAGTACGGGACTCCACCTCACCGGCATCGCCATTACTCTTACTCTTATAAGTATAACCGGCCGTTCCAAATGACTCTTCCAAGTACATACGGCAGACGTTTCGTCATTGATCTGCGCACGACGCATGCGCCTCAGATTGCTCTCAATTAAGTGTTTGATACGTGGCGCGAGAAATGAATTTCTTTCGAAATGCAAAACTTCGCCGAAAGACGAAGAATACGAGAAGACTGCTCATGCACGGTGTGGTGGAGACGCCCCGAACTTGCGAGTGCAAACAAATATTAAAACATCACACGAGAATTAAAAAGTTTCTATATAGTAACACTTGCCGTAATCTCCGTAATATATTTTTCTCTCACCCGTTTGCAGGAGGGTGTTCTGCGTGGGTGCGGGCGTGGGTGTGTCGTCGTCTACTGCTTGACCTCTACGTTTCATAATATAACGACTTATGCTCGTGTTGAACCTGAATAGGAGGATGAAGGTCAGTAAGTAAACAATCTATGGAACGCGATATCTATCAAGGTTTACAAGAACGCAAATCAGCATGATGGTGCACGTCGACCTCATTGATTCAGGAACCATTCTAATCTAAGAAAACTGTATTCCAAATTGTGACACCATATTTGTTATCAGGCCATCACTGTAAGTTACTCACTGAATACACTGAGTCCCGCAAAGAATTGAAAGTGACCATTTATAAAAGCAAATGTTACATGATGCATATTAATATTGACAATTGATAATGATAAATTGTTGATTAATGATGACAGATACTTGACGTTCTCGAATTTACATATTTTATCTTTATGTTTAGTTAATATGGCATATGGAGAAAGATTCTTATTGGTTGATAAGCCGTGTTGCTTGGTGGTCTGCCCAGGAAGTAATCAATCAGTTAATACGTTAGTATAGTTTAAATAGGTAACCATCCAACGTCAAATGCATAATTCATGGAACTTTGCTACCGTTAATGACACTAAAACGGGTAATCTGCCATTTTATCAATTTTTTGCCAATGATTTTATGAACACGTCAGATATAAATACATTTAAATGCTTTATCGGGTCACTGATTATACCCATTTCTCCGCCTCACACTCAGTAACTAGGTGCCAATGCACAATTAACTAAACATATATACTATAATATATATATATATATATATTATCAGGAGTCTATAACCCGCGTCACTATACATCAAAAACTATTAATCTTCGAATACGTTGAACACGTTAATCTTCATGTTTGGTTTAAACGAAATAACTCGTTACTAAGCTGAACCGTAACACGTGAAGCACTATGTCGAAACATAAGGCAATTAGTGTCGAAATGTGTCGTAATCGCTCGTCCGTTCGTTGTATAACGGTTTAAACAGGGAAGCCACACTTGACGATTGTGTTAGCGGCGTCAATATGTGCGACAGCGTGCCTGTGTGGGGGCCAGTCAATCATTCAGTCGCCATTGCGCGGATTTTCCAGAGAAAAGTTGGCTTGCGTGCCCAGCGTCATGCGGTCTTTCTGATCAATAAGCTTCATTAGGAAACAGAATCGCGCGCGTTTCGAGGGAAATCAGCTATTGGCAAGGCGCGTGCGAGCGTGCGCGCGTCTGTACGCGTGGGTGCGGCGCGCGCGAGTGCCACATCGATCCACCACGACTCATGAACTCGCTAAATAAAGTCACACGCCTTCTATCATGCTATAATGCTAATAAAAACGCCTATACATGTTGGGTGATGTAATTTACTCGTAATTCTACATTGGAATTTATTTTCATCTAATTTAATTATTCGAAGGGAGTTTTATTGTACATACGAATGAAATGCGATGAAGAAGCTGCGAAACATCAAAGTTACAATTAAAGATGTTTGTTATCAGATGTTATTAACTTAAACGAATGGCTAAATGGTTGTACGTAAATTACTTGTCAAGCCGTAACCATCGGTCTTCTCTTATAATTATACGAGCCTATAACCTCAGATGCGAAAGAATTCTGTGCGCGATCGTATAAGAAACCTAGTACACATACGAGTTCAATTACGTGGGAGCTGCTTTAAGCAAATCCCCTTTATAGGCGACATTTCACTAAAACTCCGTTCAGTTATTTGACCTTTACTTTGCGCGTGAAAGTCGTCGTGGGAGAAATGTATTAGCGTCGAAAATCCGATAAACGCTGTGGTGTCACGAAGCATTTTTGCCAATTCTCCTCACAACAATATATATATCAGGAGTAGATAATAGGCCTATTAGTATTATATCAGAAGTAGGTAATAATTCCCTATTATCTACTCCTGATATATATATATATATATCAGGAGTAGATAATAGGGAATTATATATATATATATACCTGCACACATGCACACGCAAACACACCCACACGGTCACCCACACACCCACGCACGTACGCTTTTAGATGTTATTTGTAATATAGACTTACTTCATTATAAGGATGTACATAGCATAGATGGCGAGCATCGCTACCGACTCCGCCCACGTGACCACACCGTCGTATATCACCTGCAACAGACGCGGTGACGTTTATAGCCGACACTAAATTAATTAATGTAATTAATAATTAAATCCCATGACGTCACAGATAACCTTCAAATGTTTTCTATAAATATATTACATTATTTTATTATTATTGCGCGTACATTCGTTAGATTTCAATTGCAGTCGCAGTCAGAAATTGCACTCAAGAGCGTGCGTAGCCGCGCGGATTTACGAGCCCAGCAAAACTCTTTACGAGTATTCGTCATTCGTCTACCGGAATATAAAAAAAAGTACTTTCGGAAATGGACGGACCCTGGTAGTTTCAGTCCGCTCACTTTAAGTACTATTGGGATAACGTCGCGGCCCGACGGTCATAGCGAGTGAACTGAATCTAGAAAACTGGCGGCTTATTTTACAGCGTAAATTTTGCAGTACATTTGGCAGCGTAAGTGATTGTTCTTGTTGTAAAGAATCTTTGGTGTGTGCGGTGAACGGTATAGCACCACTGGATTTGGGAGTTCGTCTTAAACAAGTCTAGAAACCCTGTAATTCTAGCATTTACAAAAATCACGGGTATAAAAATCTTCAGGAAATCACCTTTGTAAGGCCACACAACATCATAGGAAATCGATTTCTTTTCAAAGATTTCATATGAGCCGTATATTTAGCACAAGCCAATATCAGTATGTGCGCATAATATTATAGCTAAAGGATACGTGGTATGCACAGCGATGCACCGTGTTTAGCTAGCCTAGAAGAAAGCTTAGACAGTCAACGATATGTCACATTTTACGGCACGCTCATATTGTATTCTAGTATCAGATCTAACTGCCACATTAACCCATGGACATGAATTATAGAGGGTATGCGCGTAATATGACCTGTACCAGACCAGTCATATTAACGGATCGTTCAAGAAAGCCGTCACCATTATGGGCAGACTCTCCATGCAGACTCGTGCTGCAACTCCGCGGTAATATTCCACTACGGTTGCACCGAGACTGTCCTTGGGTCCGAACCCATTGGAATCTCATTTGGTTGAAATGGTCCCGAACCGAAATGAAACCGATGTCGGACGAACGCTCACCCACTGCAGGGTCAGACTGTTCACAAGTCAGCCGGCAGCCTGGGGTGGGCGCAACGATATATAGTGCTCAAGCGGGCAAACTCAAGCACTCATGCAGTAACATATGCACGTAGCACATATTATACGCGCGCGTTTGTGCGCGAAAATCGATATATATATATATATACACACACACGCACACACACACACACACACACACACACACACACACACACAACACACACACACACACACACACACACACACACACACACACACACACACACACACACACACAATATATATATATATATCTCAATATATATATATTGAGAACATGAAGTTTTCTGTTGCTATAAATCCCGAGATAACTATTTCTCATCAATCCTACATAGTCAACCGAATAACGTAAACTACTAAATTTTGCGGAACTACGTGACTCGCTTGCGTAGTATATGAACATGTATAGTTGTATAGTTGTATAGTATGTATAGTTGTATTAACGAACGCTCAGTACCTACAGAACGTCACCGATGGCGTTCAGACTTCAGTGTTCTACTGATGTTCCGCGGTTCCCCGAATAGGGGATTTTCCGCTTCGTGGTAATGTACTGCACCATTCAGCTGGTACTCTACTGGCACCTCTAAGCAGAAACGTAGAGGAGCAGAGGGGATAATAAGCAGGTGCGTCTGTGCAGCTTCAGCAGATGGTGGGTAATTAGATGAAAATTATAGAATTAGATCATCCAGCTACCTCATCTGCTTTCTGCGCATTGTGAGATGTGATGCGAGCACGAGGGCGGCTGTGAATATTGAGTTGACTCGGATAGGTTAGTGTACGTCTTACCTAATGGTTAGACGGGTATGTTCAACGGTGGCGCAGTTGTTAGCTGTGTGCATCTATACCCACGCAGCTGTAGATCTTCTATGGATAATTAAATCTATGGCAAATTGCGCGTTTCTACACGAATGAGCAGAGCTTAACTACTGTATAGTATAGTAGTAAGCAGACTAGAGCTTCTATTCGCTGGTATCCCTCTTGCTCTTTTCACTATACTCGACGAATTAGGCGATAACATGTCAGACATCTCAATAGCGCAGACGTGCCACCTGTGTGAGTCCATTACGAACGCGGATAAAAACCGCGTGTGTTAGATGCTCTCTATAGAAGCAGATGAAGGCGACGATGACGCCAACAAAGAGGAGAAAGAAGAAGAAAGACGAAGAAGAAGAAGAAGAAGAAGAAGAAGAAGAAGAAGAAGAAGAAGAAGAAGAAGAAGAAGAAGAAGAAGAAGAAGAAGAAGAAGGAGAAGAAGAGCAATAAGAAGAAGAAGAAGATAACTATAAGAGAATAGAAGTACGAAAACGTACTACTATATTCAAAGATGTACACGGGTGCGTTTATCGGCGTAGCAAGTGTTCGCGTAGACGCTGCGAAAACACTGGTTGACAGAAGAAGCAGCGAGCCTTGTTGATTACAGTTAGAAGTCTGTGATAATCGCTCATACCGCTGCAGCAAATAAATGCCCAGTTTCACGCGAAGCATCAACTGAGAGCGCTGTGAGTTTCTGCTACGGATTTATTGGTGTAATTATTCGGAAACCGCGCGTCTCTAACCTAGTCTTTATAATTTATTAGGGTCCGCTGTCAAAATCCAGCGTAAAGCGTATGACTATTATAGGTCTATGATTTGCCAAGTTGGATTACTAAGTAAAGGTTAGGACATTCTAGAATTGTGTCTACCATAACTTTCATAACAGTTTCTGCATGATGCATCGACTGGGTTGTACATCAATATGTGACCGCTGGCGCCACAGAAGCTTAGATATTATTAGCTCGTGATAGCAGTCATATTAAATTGTTGGTGCATCGTTACATTCTATCCGGAAATCCGAGCAAAGGTGGTTGTCTGCATATACCCACTTGCGAAATTGAGAGTGGATTAGCTCCATCCGTTAGCCTGCTACAGGGCTATGTAAACCACAGTGCTGGGAAAGGCAGCGAATTTTTGCATGGCCGGCCAAGTTGTAGCAACCACCGCCGGCACAATGGCAGTCCTGACGTTAGTTATCCACTCGCAAATGAAAATCAACTTACTATAACTTGACCAGATTGTGCAGTTTATCGAACGCAAACGAACCAGAAACACAAATACGCGACCGGCGGCACTAGTAAGATTCCCTGCCATTTCCGCGAACACTGTGGGGCGTACAGACGTAGCGGGAGCGGATGGCTACGCGGGCGGAGCTAGAGACGCAAGAACTACCGTCCCAAATTGCCACAGGCCAGAATCATTGTGATTATGGATTACAAGGAAAATGAATTTATTGATTTATGACAATGAATTTAAATTTGAATATTTCAACTATTTTCTAGCGACAAAATACGTATTTTTAGAAAACTTTATAAATCGTGAATTCAAATAAAACACGTAGGTGCTCCTTTCGACATAATTTTCTATGAAATCATCGTTCCCGGAAAGCTCGCGGGTTTGCCACGAACGTTGTGTCACCGGTGCGCGATTCTTTACGATCCTTGTGTATATAGACACACCTACAACCGCACATGTAGGCGCGCCTCAGCCTCCGCTCTGGGATGTGAGGGAAGCTTGGCTGCCTATCAGCGTTAAATGCCACGCGCGCGCAAATACCTAGGGAATAGTGAGCGAGCACAGGACTGCCATCATAATCACGCCGAACCGTGGCACTTGTGCTGATTACCTCATATAAATCCTTTTAATGCGCATAGCTGGGTTTCTCGGCGAGCATTCCTTATCATCTTGGTGATATCTGCGAGCCGTCTCTATAGGCATCGGTGCGGGTTTCTCAGTTCAAAGCTTTATATCAACGCTAATCTTTTGTGAGTCTCGGACGGGATTTCAATTTCTGTTCGCGTGGACGTCGACTCTGATCACAAGATGTGTTTGACCGACGACAAGCTTGTTCGGGTATATACGCACTAGTCGCACGCACGAACACACACGCACACACGAACATGCACACGCGCGCACACACACGCACACACGAATATAGACACATACGCACACACACACACACACACACACACACACACACACACACACACACACACACACACACACACACAGTAGCACACGCCGCACAGGACCACCGCACACCACACGCACACGCACACGCACACGACACACGCACACGCACACGCACAGCAGCCAACGCACACGCACGACGCACACGGCCACACACACAGCGTCACACGCACACGCACACGCACACGCCACAACGCACACGCACACGCACGGCACACGCACACAACGCACACGCATGTACACATGTTTATCTATCTATTCGTCCATCTATTCATTCATCCATCAATCTATCTATATCTACCTACCTACATCTTTTTCACACTCTCTCTTTCTCTCTCTCTCTCTCTCTCTCTCTCTATATATATATATATATATATATATATATATATTTACGTAACATATATGTACATAAACTGACCGTGGCAGTTTGAGCGCGAAGAGATGGAAGCGAATCTCTCAGATTCAGCATTCACAATGCTCAGCTTCACACGCGTAATTCCGCAGGAAAACGACTGCCGCGTAATTCTAATCCCATGTGTGCGACTCTGCAGCGACATGTCATGTTTTGTTAACATACACACACACACACACGCACGCACACGCACACGCACGCACGCACACATCACCAGATAGATAGATAGACAGACAGACAAACAGACAGATAGATAGATAGATAGATAGATAGATAGATAGATAGATAGATAGATAGATAGATAGATAGATAGATAGATAGATAGATAGATAGATAGATAGACAGATAGATAGATAAGATAATAGATAAATAAATAGATAAATAGATAGATAAATAGATAGATAGATAGATAGATAGATAGATAGATATGATAGATAGATAGATAGATAGATAGATAGATAGATAGATAGATAGTAGATGATA